TTAATTAGCTTTTAATTTTTGGTATAATAAAATGTGTATAGGGATAAAAACAAATTTTCAGATAGTAAATATAACAAGTTGTTATTACTTGTTAGAAGTCCTCATATTAATATTAAGCATAAAGTAGCTTTTAGTCCCTTACACTTGAGATTTTATCAATTTGGTCCCTCAACAACTTTAATTTTTTTCATTTCAATTCTTAATATTTGCTTTCATTATCAAGTTATTCCTTTAAGCTTGGTAAGAAAATATAAAATTAAAAAAACTAATATGGAAGTTAGATTGCTAACATGAGAATATACATGTAGATTAAATAAAATACATCGATCAAATCTGTCAAGTCCTAATTACTTATCTATTATTTATTTTAAATATGCTCTGTATAATGTTGAATTATGAATTATAAAATGATAAAATAAATAACAGATAAGTAATTAAGACCCAACTGATTTGGCCATGTGTATCTAATTTTCACGTCATCTTATTTTAGGTGTAATTAGAAGTTATAAATATTTTAGAAATTTAATTTATTTTCAAAAATACCAATTTATTTGATCATACTATTGACAAAATTGATTAATTGTTCAGTAATTTACAAGTAGCTTGAATCATTTATTAACGAGAGTATAAAAAATTAATAAATACTTTATTTCACAAAGAATATTTAATTTTTATAAATTAGATAAAAAGAATTTAACTAAAATTTCTTATAAAATATAGGGAGAGAACATACTTTTGAGTTATCACTTAACTAAACTTCTTAAAAATTTAATAAATATCCTACATCGCAGGGAGTGAAAGTAACAACTCGTTGCAGGTGTATATTAAAAATATAAAAGAAATTTTGTTGTTTCATGATGTGTTATCTTCACAAAAATAGAATTTTGACGGAATTTAGATATTTAATTTCATATATTTGAGATGTTTGTTTATTATTCAATTAAGACATATGAATTCTTTTATATATAATTAATTACGTATATAAAAAATCTTATACTAACATTAACAATACGTTAAAAAATACTTTTTTTTTGTCAAATACATTAAACACTACTTGTTCTGATTTAATTGGATAAAAACATATGAATAAATGGGAAGACTTAAGTATTTAGCCTTATATATTTAATATACTTTTATTTAATTAAATTAAGATAATTAAATTTTAATGTGTTAATAACATTAATAAAAGAGTTTGTTACTGAATAAATTATATATAAAATAATTGAGATGTTTTAATTTAATTAAAAACAAGTATTTTAACTATATGAGTAAGTCTAAGTATGTAAGTTTTTTCCTTATATATATATATATATATAAATTTAAGTATAAGTCTTTCCTCTAAAAAAAATTATAGATCTTTGTGTGATTATGGGATAAAAAAATTTCTTATTTCAAAAAAATTAACAATATTTCTAAAATATTTTTTAGTGTAAATGCATTCAATTTGGTGTACGAGAAAATATTATTTTATTCCAACATAAGTGATTGTACTGTAGTTATTAAATAAAATATTTTAAAAATTATAACCATGTAAATATTAAAAAATTACTTCATTACTAATTTTAGTTCGAAATATATTATTGTAATACATATTTTAATAAAAATTAATTTTAAAAAATTAAACGTCATGTTAAATTAAAAAATATATTTTTTTTAATATTGTGTTGTTGCCTGCCGCCATTGGATTTTATTATTTTAATATATTTCTTAAAAGAAAAATTTTATGTTCTATATTTTATAAGAAAATAGCGTTCTGTTAATCCAAAACCGTGTTTTATATTAAATAATAATAAATAATAAAAAGGGTTAATATGTAATTCTAATTTTAAATTATAAGTTTAGGGATAATTTAAATCCTAAATTTTTAAAAAATAAATTATGAATATTAAATAATTGAAGTTAGGGTAATTTTATCCCACTGTTAAATTTTAACAAAAGTTTGTCAAATTTAAGTCTATATGTGATTTTCATTAAATTTCATTCTCCATCTCTTTCCATTTGGTAAAAATGACATATTAGACTTCAATTTTACGAATGTTTATCCAAATTTAATAGTGGAAGTGAAATTATTTCAACTTTAATTGTTTAGAGTTTATAATATATATTTTAAAAGTTTAAGATTTAAATTATCCCTAAACTTATAATTCAGGATTCAAAATGTATATGACCCTAATAGAAACAAAAATATTAAAAAAACTGATTTTACTTTTAAAAAATACGACACGAAATTTCTGTCCAATTAAAAACTAATAAGAATCAAATGAATATTTCACAGTAATTAATAATATAAAACAAAATCTCTGCTTCCAAATCCCATCAACTTCACAAATGGGCAAATCACAAAAGAACAAACGAAATTATAAAAAAATTGTTTTAAAAAGTCATTCAATGCAAGAAAGTGGGTTTACCCTTAGGCCTTACCTGAGATAAAAATAAACTAGGCGTTTAACAAACTCTTACAACCTGATTTACTTTTTAACCTAACTTAACTTATTTATTAAATAAATTTAAGTTTTTAATTAAATTTATTTAATTAAATAAATCAAGATTCTTTTTTAAAGCCTAGCTTGTAAGTCTAACAAGCCAGTATATATATATATATATATATATATATATATCACAAACACATTAGTTTCAATATTTTATTTTTAATCAAATTATTTTTTTTTTTTTAGTTATATTTTCAATTATATTAGACTTATATATTAATCTTAATGTTGCTATTTTATTATTATATTGTATTGTAATTTATAAATCTTTTCAATTATTATATATTAAAATTAATAAATTAAGTTATATATTGTATATTATAGCAATCCTACAATATATTTAAGATGTTTAAAATTAAAATGGGAGTCTGTTTAAAAGGTTTACTTTTAAGTAAGTTTTTAAATAGGTTTTCAAGTCAAATTAGACTTTAAATAAATTCATACTTGAGTCGTGAAAAAAAAAAGCTTTATACAAGTTTTAAGCTAGGCTCAAGCCTCTGATTTATCACAATGGCTCAAACTTATTTGGCTAAAGTTTATTTCCACCCCTAGGCCTCATCTAGGGCTACACAAAGGATAGAACGGCAGTGAACTCCGCCCTAACCCGAAATCTGGTCTCTTTCATGAAAAAGACTAGGTTAGGCAACCTATAGTTCGGTCTTGTCTAGTGATAATTCAAAAATTAATAGGATTGGATTTGATCGATAGAACTGAGAGACTAATCTTGTTAGTCCAATACTCACTTAGCTTTTTTTTTCTTTTTCCTCTATGAGAGGCAATAATCCATTTCAACCTAAGAAACTCAATTAAGATAATAAAAACACTTATAATAATAATAATAATAATAATAATAATAATAATAATAATTTCTAACAATAAGAAAAAAATATTTCTGTTATAGTCAAATGATTTAAATTTATAACTTTAACAAAAACAACACTCAACAAACTTCAACAATACTAGATTACAACAACAATTTGAAAACAAACTCAACAAATCTTCATATAATTATCTCCTTAGCATTAATTACACTTGAATTATTTATGAAAAATAAATTAATTATAATTATAATAAATAAATTAATAGGACTGGATTGGACCAAGTGGTCCGAGTTTCTTGTCCAGTCCAACCTGAATAAATAGTCTAGCTTTTTTAGTTTTTTTGATCCTGAAAGACCAGCGTCTATACGGACCGAACAAGATAAGGACCATCTTAAGTTGGATTGGATCAGACAGGATTGGATGACTTTTGCACGGTATTAGCCTCAACCGTCAATTGTTCACTCTTTTTTTTTGTTGGAAAATAGCGATGAAACACCACTTGAAAAAATTTATATCAATTAAGGATTAGTTGTTATAAAATACGAATAGAAAAAAGCCCAAATAAATGAATTGTTATTAATTTAAAATAAGTTGTTGTTAAAATTTAAATGAATATTCGTTGATAAAAGACTAACCTGAATTGATGAGCATCTATTTGAGTTTTAATAACAATTCTTAATTCATATAAATTTTCCTCAATAATTCTTGATTGATATTTTTCCTTTTTTTCCATCTCTTTTGGCACAATAAAACCTAATTGTTATAAACAATTTGTAGATACATTTAAAAAAATTTTAAATTGATTGTTTTCAAATAATCTTTTTAGATGCATATTTTAAAAAGAAATAATTTAGACATAATTTCTTTATTTTCGTTTGTAAAACTTGTTTTTGTAAAATAAATTATTTTAAAAATATTAAGAAAAAAGAAAAGAATGAACCAAGCCCCTGATTTTAAGAATTTGATCTTGGCAGGCTTACTTGTGCATCCCTCAACCGTGACTTGAAAGGTTAGTTTTTAGTATTAAATTGAATATATAACCTAATTCATAGCCATAATAATTGACTTAAATATTATTTTATCATTTGCAAGAAAATGACTTGATGTTAACTGATAACTTAACCATATCATTTATAAGAAAATGACTTGATGTTAACTGATAATTTAACTACAATATAATAACCAAATTTATATAGTCAAGTTAAACAATTATTTTATTATTTACTATATATACTAATTATTTTTTGCTAGAACCAAATCATTAATTTTCTCAAACTTGATGATAGTTAATTATTATTAAAAATTTGGTTAATTTTATGTTATTTAATTTCATTTTTTATGATACATCCAACACATCTTTCAACGAGAGGGACTTTAAATATTTTAGATTTTTAAATGACTTTATTTAATTGTAATAAGATAAAATTTGGTACAGTTTAATTACAAAGAAAAGGTACTATATAACTGGCATATATAATATTTTTAAAAATTTTATTATACATTTATATATTAGTTAATAATGACTTTTTATTTTTAAGAATATAAAACACTCCCTTTAATTGTCTTTATAATAAATAAAATATTATAATTAAAAATAAAATTTTAATAATTAAACTAAAAATCACCTATAGGATTTGCTAGATTGTATATATTTTTGAATTCATTCAAGAAAGATATTTATCTTCTGAAATGTTGTTCTTCTTGGATTCCGTTCTCAAAACTGAGCCGAAAGCAATAGCTGCTTCATCATAAAAGCTCTTCCAAGAAAAAACACAGAACACAGTACCAAGAACGAAATGATGTTCTCGGGTAGAAGCATGGGAGGAGGACGCGGAGGAGGAATGTTGAGAACATTCAGGGGAGCAGTGTCGAGGGTCGGTGTTCCTGGTAATGGAATACAAGAGCCCTTTTCTTCTTCTTCGGGATCTGCGTCTCCTCCTTCCAAGGCTGCTCGCAGACCCCACTCCCAAAACTGTCTTTCGTTGTCTTCTCCTATCAATTTTCAATCTCACAATCCTGTGTCTGGCTTACCCTCTCGTTGTCCATCCCTTGAGGTGGATGGTTTTCATTGGGTTTCTGAGGATAGCTTTGAGGACGATGGCTTTCATGGGTTTTCTGCTCCTTATGTTCTGGGGAAAGTTCCTTATGAGGAGGAATTTGACAAGGATAGCTTTGAATATGAGGGCTTTCATAGGTTCCCTGTTGCTTGTGTTTCGGCGGATGTTCCTTCTGAGGAGGAAGTCGACAATTCTGTCTCTGCTATCCAGGAGTAAGATGATCTTTCTTCAGTGTTTTTGTCAGGGAATCATTGTGTAATTTGTGTTTGGTAGTTACTACTGATTATTGTTAAAAACTCATTGGGTTGAAAATGTAGATTTACCTAAAAAAAAATGATTCTGTGGCAATATATAAATGGTCTGAACAATAATAGAAAATTCTAGACTACTCTTTGTAAATGCTATGGTTGGTCTTACAATTAGCATGTTTGTGAAGATGACAATTTTGAAACTATTCACCTGCTTTTCTATCATTGTGTGTTGTCCCTTTTAAACCAATCCCCTGTTTGGTATCATTGAGGCAGAATCCGGGTGGCGGGACCTCTTTTGGCTCCTTTACTGATGTTTATTATGTTTCTGCGTATTCATTAAAGGGTTTTTTATTACTTTAAAGTAGAGACAAAAAGATCATTCTTATCCTTAAAACTACCTTTTTCATTTGATTTGACATTCCATTCCTTTGGATTTTGCATTACAAATCACCGTTTGAGAGATAATACATTCTTCATTATCATGTTTATGTGGTTCACTTGTTCTTGAATGCATATAATGTCTAGTGAAGACCTCACTGCTATTTCCAGTACAAAGTGTTCAAATGCCCCCAAGTTACCTTTCAATAAGTAGGATGGGTTGGTGATATTGCAGATATTATTGTTGGCCCATATTTGTAGCTTCCATCGATTAGATTTAGAGAATGCCTCAATCAATCTTTCAACGGGAAACCTTGGTTTAGACGTTTAGCTGAGTAGGGTTACTTTGGTCAGTCTTGCATAATAGCTTTACTTAGCACTTGGTACTGCCGTTTTCTCTTAATTTTGGGTCCATTTGGTGCACAAAAATGGAAATGTAATAAATTAATAAGGAAATAGAATGAAAAAAGTGAAGATGGTTACTGTTGAATAACGATGACAGAAGCATAATAAGAATCATACATCTTTGCTTGTTGTACAACGAAAACGAAATCCTTTTCATTTGCATATACTCAGACTTTTCTGTATCTTGCAAGAATCTCCTTGCGGACTTGTTCTTCTAAATTCCATTGCATGCTAACCTTGCAGATTTGACTTTTTAAATTTTGCGTTAGTGATGATGTTATTTTCTATATTTCTATACAGAGTATTCTCTTCTACCTCACATGAATCTGAGATGGATTGGAAGGAGCCATCTTTGAATCCATATGATACAAGAATGCAACTCTCTAATGGATCTGATAGAGTTTATTATACATTTCATTTATTGCAGACTGACCCAACTATTCAGGTGCTTTTTCTTGTTCAAAAGTAAAAATAGTATTATCCATTGTTATGCTGCCCAGGTGAAATTGGTTCTAGCTGATAATCTAACAAATTCCTTGATCATAAATGTAGTACTAGTAAACCTATATTTTCTATTTCAATCTGTTGCATATGTTCCAAGTTCTATATGTAGCTTGCTCTGTATAATAGACTAAGATGTAGTTTGATTTGATCCTTCTTATTATGTTTATAATGAGAAATGATCACTTTTCTTTCCATAATGGAGCCTGATGATTAAATGTTGTTCATGTGTTTCATTCTTTCAATCATGGTATTGCTGCAGAAAATGGTGAAATCAATTTCATGTGATGAAGCTATTTGGGATGCTCTTTTGAAAAATGAAATCGTCCGCGAGTTACGAGAGTCATTCTCATCAGGCTCATCAGGTTGGTTTACTTTCTGAGTAGTTCGTATGCTTTGTAATTATATATATATATATATATATATTTTAATGGCTGTTCTATTTCATTTTTATTAGAAAGGTTAAAGTGTATGCTGATAGCTGAATTTAAGTGGGTATTATTGGATCCACTTTTGGTGCTCATCTCTGATATTGTTGCCCATCTTGAAATTTGGGCAGTCTAGATCTAGTTAAATTTTTATTTTTCTATTTAATAATCTTTTTTTTGGAAAGCAGATAATCAGAACTTCATTTAAAATAAAATAAAATCTTAAAATTTCAGTAAAAATTAATGTTTGGATCGTTCAAATCAAATCTAAATAGTCCAAATAAGATATACATATGGCACACCATATCTACTTCTGGTGCTGGTTGTATCTATTTTGCCATTTATTATGCTAATATTAAATGAAAATTTCTAACTGGTAAGCATGAAAATTTTCTCATGCTTCACAAATAACAGAGAGGTTATGATTTGATTTGATTTTCTAAACGGGTTTGTATTGACAATGCTTGCTGCTATTGTAGAAATAGTAATTGAATAGTTAAATTGGCCCAACAATATATCTTGTTGCAAGAGGGTAGATGTGGTTTTGTTCATACCACTTTTCACATGGATGGTCTTATGAAGGTTTGTTTGGTATGAAGGTTAATAAAAATTAATAAAATTGACAGATAATGAGGAAGTTTCTCAGAGTTTTTTCGTGCATTTTGCATTTGGTGGGGTGTTCGATTTTAGTTGGTTACAATGACATTATAAACATTGCAAAAAATGAAGGAAAATGCAAAGTGTCCCCCTACCATTATTGATAACTATACTATCAATGATCAAAATCCATGTGCATACTCAGTGCAACATGACTAATGTGGAGATTAAATTGACAGATTCTCAGAGTTCAGATGGGACTTCCAGCAGAAGTGAGTCCAATTCTAAAACAAATGTTGTGTTGCGGATATTTGGTAGTGCCAGAGCAAAGTTCATGGATGTAATTGAGAAGATTATGAAGATTGCGACTGACTTGTTTCAGCACAAGATCAATGATGAAACAAACTTGTTCCCTGATCCCTTCACTGAGAAGCTGAGAACTTCCTTCATGCTTTCCATCATCGTCCTCTTGGTCGTGATGGTGAGTCGAGCAAGTAGGGCTTGACTTGAACTCGCCGACATGATGGTATATTGTCATTGGTTTGATTTTGTATAAAGGATAGAAGTTGCAGACTTAGGATGCATTATTTATGGTTATTATTTGCTTTGAGTTATGTTGGTTATGGACACTGAAGTCTTAGGTCAAGTGAACTATGATTTGGTGGATGGAGAAATAGTAAGGATCAAATCAGTGCCTGTCTCAATGGTTTGAGGAACTCATTAAGGTGGATGCTGCTTTATGGAACATCTCTCGAGTTTTTATTTAATTTTACAACTAATTATTTCTCTTGATGGATGAATTATTTGGTTGTCTAGTGTTTAAACTTGTTTTCCTCAGCCTATTAGGATTGTCTTTCTTTGTTTTTTTTTTTTTTAAATATAGCTATATAATTAGGTTAGATTCAAGTAGTATCAGGTTCAATTAAAAGTAATATAAGTGGCTTTATTTATTTATTTTTATAAACTTATGGCAAGAGGCCTAGTGGATTAAGCAAACCGACCTAACATGAATTGTGGATTAATGCTAATTCAATTTAACCAATTTTAGTTTGGTGCATTGAAAATTTAAACTTGACTTGCCAATGAACCAAGTAGATTGACTCATTTAACCCACTAAAAAATTTAAAAGAATGAAAATATGAAAAGCATAATTTTAGTATTTAATGTTATTGTCTCATTACCATAATTAAAAATGCAACATAATTTGTGGTCAAGAGGAGTGTAGAGAGTAGATGACAAGGAAGAAGATGAAGGATTGATTTTTTTTTTTTTCGAGAGCATTTGAAAGGTAAGATGATAATTTGGATGGCTGGAGATATTTTTATATCACGGTAGAATGAACATGCTCTCTTTTCTAGCTTCTGGGTGGGAGAATGACATTAAATCCCAAAATAATGAATTTATGAGTTAGGTTCTCAATAAAATTTTCTAAAAAGTAAGTTATAAATGTTGATTCAAATAGTTATAAATTTATGAGTTCTAACTATAAATATTATATGTAAATTTTAAATATAACTCTTAACTTATAATTGGGATTCTTGGTTGCAAATATTTAAATTAATATTTGCAACTTTATTTTTTTAAGAAAATTTTTTTGGAGCTTATTTTCTCCGTTAAAAAATATAAAACATTTTTTAAGAAGTTGAATGTTTAAAAATATAAGGTATTTTTATTCTTTTGAGGTATGATCGTTGTTTTTTTTTTTAAAGCGCCTCTATTGATGAATGACTTTATATTTATTGTAGAGTGTTTAATAGGGATAAATATAGAAATATAGAGTTAGTTTGAAAGTAGGTAACTACTTTATTAAAGATGAGATTCAATTAAAAATGCCTTATATTTTTAACGCGAGGAGTAACTCTTATATATTCCTGGTTGTAAGATGTTAATATCATTCTCCCTTTGACTTGTTTAACTTGAAGGCTTGCATTTAATTTTTTTCCCCAAATATCCACCTAATCAATTGAGTTAGTCCGTATAATATGGTAATATCTCTCTTGGGTAAAGTTCTAATTTTCTCCATCATTTGAAAGTTAATAGGTATGAGTACTTTTAGTTTACCTAGTTCTTTTGGAATTAAAATATTGGTGTAAAGAAAAAAATTTCTCAATCTAATCTGAATATCTCAGACATTTTAATTTTATATTAATGATCAGTGCTATGCAATCTCAATCATTACTTTTCCTAATTTACTCAATTATTACACGTAATGTCTAATAAATTATTAATGCTTACCCTTATATTTTGAAAAAAGATGATAGTCGATTTATAAAAATATGGAATAAAAGAAACTAATAGTATGGTATTTAACTATAATATGAAATAAAAAAATAGTGTGCAGAATTAAGACAATTGAGCTTTCTGATGCACCTAAGAAAATATTATATACCCTTGTGGCCTTGTTCATATTGAGCTTCCTTTCTTTCTTTCTTTATTTCTTTATTTCTTTTTTTTTTGGGTAAAGTATTAAGCTTTTTAGTTTCTATGGTATTAAATATCATCATAGTCGGTAGTTGTGATATCAATCTCTCAAAAATTTGAGCGGCATTTAAGGAGTTGTCTTTTCTCAAGTAATATTTTTTCATACACTTTCAAGAATCGAATCCTGAAATGACATTTAGAGGGCCTAAACTGCTATCATCTATGCAATATTTACTTGGTTATAGTACTAAATAGTTACATCCTAAAACTTTTTTGAGACCTAACGTCACTTGTAATATTGGGCTAAAAAGATGGAGGCTCGTTACAATTCAGGCCTAATACAACAGACATTGCATATTCAAGCTTTTGATTTCTACAATCCAATCATGTTTGAAAATGTTGCTCATCTCATGAACAAGTCTAAACGTGCTACTAACAAAATTGAGTTTAGTAGAAAGAGTTAGTTTCTCACACTGAGGTAAATCAAGGTTCGAATTATACTTACATTTAGTGCTCAACAATACTTTGAATATGATTACTTCAAATAGAAAAATATTTGTAAGGAGAAAAAGTCCAAATATGATTACAATACAAATATTAGGTAGGGTTTGCATTTCAATAATTGTCAAAAAACTATATAATTCTAGATAACCTGTCAGCTTATAAAGAAAATAATTTTCTATCATTTTTTACAATGGCTATAAACAAAAGTTAAAAGAATAAAAATATTTGAGAAGTCATAGAATAAGAACATTCAATAGCCTAAAGTAAAAAAAAGTATACAAGTGTCATTATTTTTTTGGTGCATCTATGATCAAATTGTTAAAAGTCATTAAAAGTCAATGATATTAACCATTAGGTTCAACATTGTTGACTTCTAATGATTTGGTCTCAGATATACAGAAAAAATAACTTCATGAATACTTGTATGTTTCTTCTCACTCTGGGCTATTTATCCCCTTTTTGAGTTCAAAACATAACATACCACACATAAAACCCAACTTTGGATGCACCTGGCCAATGATTTCTTGAGCATTTTTACCCATTGGCCCAAAGTTAAATTTAAATTTTATGCAACACGCTCTAATATCAATGATAATAATCAGGGTCATTTTCTTTTATTTTGGGTACAAATTTGTGTGCTATTTTAGAAAGAGCCTTAAACTCATCTTTCGAAAGACTTGCCCAATCTCAATGTCGGGTTAATCTGCTCCTTGAAGTTGAATTAATCTGCTGTTTGAAGATGGATCAACTGGACGGGAAAATTTCATGAAGATGGTTGAACATAGCAATAATAAGTTATCACCCATGCTTTTGGATTCAGTTCCCTGATTCCAAAATATTTCAAGACTAGGCCCATTCATGAGTAAGGAATAAGATGGGCTGCCTTTTTTTAATCTAGAAGAATAAGATAGGTCATAGATTCTGTTTGAATGAAGAAAAGTGGGAGAAAAGAAAAGTAAGAGAGAAAATGAGATGCAAGACTCATCACTTTCGCTCTAAATTTTCTCTTCATACCCTGCCCTCATGCCTCATTATTTTAATTTGCTCTCTGTCTTTACCATCACCTCTGAGCCTTCTTGCCCTGGACAATTATCTTTGCCATTGTCCCTCTCTTAGTCTTTATAAAGATTAATTTTCCCATTTTTGTAAATAAGAAGAAGAAAATTGATAACTACACTAAGCTTAAGAAGCCAAATCGATAAAAAATAAATTTAAAGGATCAGGTCAATAATTAAAGCAAATTTGAGGGATTGAAAGTTATATTATTTCTTATTTATTTAACAAATAATACAAAATTTAATTAAAATATGAAATAAAGATAATGTTAAAATTAATGATAAAATTTTCCTAATCTAGAGTTGACTCTAAATATTTATCACTGATCTAACATCCCACCAATAAGTCATATGAATAAAAATTATGTATCGTGGGATGGGCTTTGCCCCATTTTTTCAGGAGAATTACTATAAAGTTGCACTCAATACAATTAATTATTTTAAGGTTCATAAACAATTAAGCTTAGGAAAATGACAACACAAAAAATACTTAATTGTGTCATTCTCTTAAACTTAATTGTCACTGGACATTAGAGTGATTAATTGTGTTGAGTAGAACTTGTATATAATTTTTCCAAAAAACAAATTATGTATCATGAATCTCAATATCTCAAGGGAAGGATTTATGATGTTTACTTGCTTACTCCTTGTACTCATTACAAAAAATACTGCATCAAGCAATTTGCTGCGAATTCAAATGATCATAGTATTCATTAATACTACAAAAAAAAAAACAATGAATTAATGACATAATTTCACAACAAAATAAATTCCTACTGCTAATCCGTTGCTAAATCATAACAAAATTAGCAATGGAAAATTTCATTGCAACCAATTTTGTCAATATTTTGTTGTTAATCCATTAGAAGTAATTTAGTAATGAAATTTATTGATAAACAAGTTCACCACTAATTTTTAAGATATTTTATTTTAATTTTGTAGCTGTGACAAAATTTTCAAGATATCTGATTGTTTTACGTCCTCATTCTCCCTATTCCATAAACTTTAAACACAACGACCTTTTCATTTGTTTCAATTTGTAATTGAGAGTTTATTTGTTGCAATTGATCTTCTACTCCAACAAGATATTTAACAACATGCAATGGGTGCGTTTTGATTATGCAAAATATGGCAATGTCTTCAATTAATTGTTATGAAAAATGATAAAAAAAATCACTTAAAATATACAAATGATAATATGATTTGCAAAATGTGATAAATTGATAATTTTTCTCCAAGTCCTTTGAAATATTTCTAACTTTAATTTTTTTTGAAATGATTATAATAGCCCCAATTAAAAATAAAAAAATGGATCAATGATTAAACAATTTGCAAAGTGGAATTGTCATTTGTTAACCTGTTTAATTCGTTGTCAGAAAAAAAATAGTCATTACTTAAACAAAAGTAGTTATTAATATTTACAATACTTAAACTTCAATGATTATAAAATTTGCAATGGAGAAGTCCAATTTTAATCATTATTTAAAAAAATAGTTATTATTTAAACATAAGTAATCACTGATACTTGTAATACTTAAACTTCAGTGATTAAAAATTTACATAAATAAATCTGTCATTTTCTATCCCATTTTATTCATTACAGAAGAAAAAGTAGTTATTAATTAAGCTAAAAGTAGTATAAATTAGAGTTATTATAGTAATTTCAGGGATCTTATTAATATTTGCATATTTTAAAGGACTTTTTTTTTGTGATTTTCCCTAAGTGATATTCATAGCTAGAGACCATGCCTAACAAATTACAAAAATTTGAGAAAAATGACATTGAATCGATGTTTATCACGCAAGAATTTTATAAACAA